TAACGAACGGAGACGTAACACATAGTCAGTAATGCAAAAAAGAATATCTTAAAACATTAGGGCGTCTTATTTTAATAAGGTTATTTTGTAAGCGTATTACCAAAAAGAAGATCTTACAAACACCAGAGCGTCTTATTTTCCCATTGTTAGTTTGTAAGCGTAAACCTCAGAAGAGGCCTTGGAAATATAATGAGCATGTATTTAACTTTATCACCTCTTCATCAGTTTTGTTGAAATATTATAATATGTGTATGTATTCTTCGGTAGATTTCTACTAACAAATAAATTCCCGCCATTTGATAGATGTATTTGCTTGTTTTTGTTGTTAAGCAAAGCTTCACAATGGGCTAACTGTGATCTGTTCACCGCGGGTATCAAAACCAGATTTTTAGCGATACAGATTTGTTTTAAACATGCACTACTATATAAAGTTCGGATTACAAATCACGAGGAACAGTGTAATCAGTAAAATAGCAGAAAGTCATTGCTCAGATGAACTATAAATTATTGGTAATTTTTATTAGTGCCTTGTTTTATAAAGCCGTTGGGAGCTTTGTATGTTAGCTAAACTTATATCTTCATCTTTGTATAAATGAAATCATCTTTATTTTTAAACGTTCTATTTAATCTCTAAGAAGTAATGGAATTGTTCGTTCCATGTCTTTGAAATAAAAGGTAATAAGTGATAGCAACGTAGAAAGGTTGTCTTGTTGTACTTGTTTTATTCGATGATAGCTAACATGAAATGCTATTACTCTAAAATGGAATTAATTTTATGGCTAGGATATTTTATAGTCCATTTTTATGTCTGAAAAAGCAATACGTATAGTAACTTATGTGCAGTTAAATGCTTCCACTAAGGCTTGATTTAGATGGGTTTTTTTGGGGGGGGGTGTTTTTTTTATCTATACCTCCCCCTAGTGATTGTTTTTCAAATTATCCATTTTAGTTGAGTGATGTCAGGTTTGATAAAGATTTATCTACCACAATATTTTAATATATTTTAACATGACTTAAGTACAGCTGTCAGAGCTGCTGTAAAAACCTTAAAGAACCCTCTTTAACTTCCTTACTCTTTACTCACTGTGTGACGTATGTTTAAAATTACTGGCCACCGGAGTTCTAGCTCAACTATCTGTAAGTTGAGTAAGTTAATTACAATTGATACGAGAAGTTCAAGAAGTCTAAATATATTTACCCGCTGTTTAGTTTTATGTGATAAGAATTAACTTATGGATTAAAGCATTAACGACAGGTTTTTGAATTTTCATTTAATAACGAACCGTATGTGAATTAAATTCAAAATATTAAATTCTTGAATATGAAAAGAGTCACCAGGTAATGCGGGTCATAAGAATCAAATTATAACAACAACCATACTTTTTGGTAAATTTAAGATAAAATGTTGTCAAAACTACTTAATAGGATTATATTTATCTAATTTTAAATGCTAAAAAGAAACAAGTCCAAATATCGTGACGTACAAAACGTCTTATAATGAAAAAACGTGGATTAAATTAGCAATGTTTGTAGAAAATCTCTCAAAAGTCTTATCGATTATCTATCGCCGATGATTATATTATCATAGAATAATAATTATCAATTATAATTTTGTTTAATTTGAATAATCCAAGAAATGTATTATTAGCTACAAACAATTACAAAAACCGATGCGTTGAGTTCCCAGCATTTTTAGTGGTTATACTTTTTCTGATTATAAGCTCTTCACTGCAAGAGAGCAGCACTATTGAAATACGGTTTAAATTTCGGTATTGACCTGGACGTTGAATATTTATCACTACAATTTGTTTTGTTTTTTTGTTTTGATTTGTTTTTACGGTGACTTTATAATATCTACAAAAAGAAAATTTATAACAATGTAATGCAAGCTTGCAAAGCTCAATTAAACAGGCACCTTTCTATAATTTATAGTGCTTTCAGGAAAAAAATGTAGGTATCTAAATTTCAGCTTACATGAACTCTTATACCGAGTGACTAAATTACGTAAAACACGTGCTATCATAAAAGGAAAAGAACGATATATAAATATCACCAAAGTAAAAACTTAATTCGTACTCAGTAAGTTAGTGAATGAAGTCAAATTACGCTTGGGACTATTGTATACCATGTCAAAAAAATTAAGCTTTCAAACTTAAAGATTATATGTATGTATACAATTTTATTCACCAAAATGAATCAACAGTTAATTAGTTCATTTACTTTCACATCCTTCATAAGAATACATAGTTTTTAGTTATTAAAAAACACTGTATATAAACAACAGTTTGAAAATTATCCTTAACCTGTAATCTGTTTTACATAAAAAGCTTTGTTAATAAGTTTATTTTTATTTGTTTTGATTTTTACAGAGTCCATCATCAATGATGTAAATAATATCTGTCCAGAGATCAAGCCTGGTCAGGATGACCTCCCAGGTATTTATTTTCCTGTTGATTTTAAAAGAACTGAAACTTATGTGAGTAAAATATTCCTTTGACATGCTGGAAGCACGATTTTCCCACCTACGAACTTTCTAGCTGTTTAAATGCTCATTTGAGGGCCGATGTAGAGTCTTTTTTTATTATTTGACAATAGCACACGTAAATACGAAACCCGATTCAGGGTGGTTTTATAATCCAACACACACAAATATGAAACCCACTTTAGGGTAGTTTTCTAACCCTACATACACAAATATGAAACCCGATTCAGGATTGTTTTCTAACTCTACACTATAAATATGAAACCCAATTCAGAGTGGTTATCTAAGCCTACAAACAAAAATACGAAACCCGATTCAGGTGGTTTTCTAGCCCTACACATATGCATATGAAACCCGATTCAGGATTGTTTACTAGCCCTACACATACGAATATGAAATCCATTTCAGGATGGTTTTCTGGCCCTACACACACAAATATGAAACTCGATTCAGTGTGGCTTTTCTAACCCTACACATCCAAATATGAAAACTAATTCAGTATGGTTTTCTAACTATATACATACGAATATGAAATCCGATTCAGGATGATTTTCTAACCCTACACACACAGAAATATCACCCGATTCGGGGTAGTTTTCTATTCCTACACATACAAATATGAAACCAAATTCAGGGTGGTTTTCTAACCATACACATACAAAAATGAAACCTAATTCAGGGTGGTTTTCTAACCCTACACACACAGAAATATCACCCGATTCAGGGTGGTTTTCTATTCCTACACATACAAATATGAAACCAAATTCAGGGTGGTTTTCTAACCATACACATACAAATGTGAAATCCGATTCAGAATGGTTTTCTAGCCCTACACACACAAATATGAAACCCAATTCAGGGTAGTTGTCTAACCCTACAAAGTATGAAAACCGTTTCAGGATGGTCCTCTAACCCTACACATACAAATATGAAATCCGATTCAGGATGGTTTCTAACTCTACGCATAAAAGTGCGAGACTCAGCTCAGAGCTGTTTTCTGACGTTATTATCTTTAGCCTGATGGTTAGAGCGCTCGATTCGTAACCTGTGGGGCGCGGGTTCAAATCCTCGTCACACCGAATATACTCGACCTTTTAGTCGCGGTGGTGTTATAATCTGACGGTCAATACCACTATTCGTTGATAAAAGAATAGCCCAAGAGTTGGCGGTAGGTGATGTTGACTAGCTGCCTTCCTTCTATTCTATCAGTGCTAAATTAGGGACGGCTAGCGCAGATAGCCCTCGTGTAGCTATGCGCGAAATTCAAACCATCTGCATTACTTGCAAATCTGAAAACGATTCAGATTTTTTTTTTCACATGCAAATATGAGATTCGATCTAGGGTTACTTTCTTTCCCTACAGTGCGAATATTGATCTAGGGTTACTTTCTTTCCCTACAGTGCGAATATTGATCTAGGGTTACTTTATTTCCCTACAGTGCGAATACCGATTCAGAATTGTTCTCTAACATTATCGCATGCCAATAAGAAACCCGATTGAAAAATGCGAAACCCAATTCAGTGTTTTTCTACCACTACCACGTGAATATCTGAAAATTAACTGTGAATGACGTGCTGACACTAACTTGTTCTTTTTTCGTAGCAGATTGTATAGGGCAGTAAATATCACTTATACTTCAGCAACAATGATAAATTAGTTACACTTTAGCCTTTCTTTAAGCTTACTTTCATTGACAGTATTGTTTCTTATAACTATCTTTACTATAAAGAACATTTCACACTACTGGTTAGCTTGTGGATTTATGACTAACCGAAATCTAATAAGGTGTGAAACCAAGTATAACTTTTATTACAGTGCGGACACACGGTGATGGTTTGTTTGCTTTTGGTTGCTGTTAAACGCAAAGCTACACAATGGTCTCTCTGTTCTCTGCCCATGACTGGTATCGAAACCCACAGTTTAGCGCCGTAAGCCTGAAAGCGCTCCGCTGTGCCACTTTGGGGGCACATTTTTGTTAAAATATTTAATATGTATTTGCTTTTGTTTATTAGTTTTTATTATTTTTAATGTTGTTTTAATGTTTATTATTTTACTATAATTATCAGTTTACATAGTTCTAATTATTATTTTGTTATTTATTATAAGGTTTATTATAAAAATTACTTCCCACCATTTTTGGATTAACGACTAACCTAAATCTACTAAGGTAGCATAACGTTCACCATGATGTAATTCTTACTTACATCGGCTTAAACAAATGAAATTTTTACTTCATAGTGGTTAGAATATCTAACACATGATGATCTACCTTACTGTTTCATTATTTCTAATCAAATTTTATGTTGTTGTTTTTTTATTCTACCAGCGTAAAAGCCCGTCAAAATGGCGGAAAACTACAGGAAACCAAAACTATTCCGTATAAAACTGGCAATTCACAAAAATAAATAAATCCACTACATATAACTGAGCAAACATGCTACATATTGCTCCTGAATCCACTACATATCTGAGCAAACATGCTACAAATTCCTCCTGAATCCACTACCTGAGCAATTATGCTACATATTGCTCCTGAATCCACTACATATAACTGAGCAAACATGCTACATATTGCTCCTGAATCCACTACATATAACTGAGCAAACATGCTACATATTGGTGCCTTTAGACAAAATATTAAACATACCATATGAGTTCGATGACGAGGAACCCACTTTGAGACTAATAACGCTTGGAGACGGCTTGAATGGGTAATGAAGAAAAACTTTAATATAAGTTTAACATAACAGCAAATGTACGACGTTTCGACAAGGTTTTGCATACACACCTCTTCTTCTTAGAAAACGTCGTCCTCTTCCCTACAGATAATTGGTATCTTCGGTCTGTTTTAACAAAGGCTTTTTCGTAATAATTCCCAAGCATAGATTTGCGCTAATTTTTGACTCATTTTTCACAGGAGTCTTAGCTTGACGTCATAATGATGTGGTGTCACACACATAACGTCATGCCTGATCTGGTCCTGGGAACTCCCTCCTTGACAGGCTTTTATAGAGCAGAAAAAGTGCCGACATTTAGGAGCTATTTATGCCTATGTTAGCGATTAAATTCAACTAAAATGGAAACGGGCAATCAAAAGATGAAATATTATAAGAGAAAAAATGGAATTGGACTCGTTTAACTCAGGAAATTCGGAGAAATCGAGCGTGCCCAACCGATTGACCGACACTTGGCTTTTATATATATTGATGATTATAATGATTATACTACATTCTTAACTAACCTAATCTTCCTGGGTTGGCCGAATTTCGTTAACACGTTCGCTGCCATGTGCCCCACCTGTGGGTCACAACCGACTTTTAGTTATGGACCGCGTGACACACCGGTGGATCACAAACAATTATGTTTCAAAGCCAAATTTATCTTTTGGCATATGAGTTTGGGACACAGTGACTGCTCCTTGGCACCTCCTAAATGTGATTTTTTGTATTTAATTTATTATACGTGTTAACCCAAGTGATAAAACAACGAACACTAAACATTACGAGTCATTTAGTTTGAGAATTGTATATAATTAGCTATATACATTATAAGGTATATATGTTTAATTCTGATCTATCTAGGTGACTTGCTTTGATCAGAAGTTAATATTAATTTACTCTATGATCCATTTAACTGTGAAATGCTTGTGTCCATTATGAGGTTTAATATTTTCAGTCTCTGTGTCTTCTACAGGGTTTGATCTGATACGAAACTTCAGACTAGATGATCCACACCTAGGGTTTCCCGGGGTGAAAGAGGTGCGAGGCTCTAACAGAATGCAAAAAGCTTACCGGCTGTTTCCACAAAAAGCTAACTTAACACGGCCCACAAGGTATGACTTTTGAAACCATTTTCTGAAAATAATCTTCATTCTAAAACCCAATGTGTCTTTCATTTCAATCTTTATGAAAATGAATAATAAAGAACAGATATTGTAGTTATGACATTTACATTCTTTGTATCTATATATCTAAAAATTACAAGAAAGCTAAAATGTGGAAGTCATTTTTGAAAAATGATGATTCTTCTTATCAGGTCAATTTTTCCGCTGGGATTACCGGATCAGTTTTCTCTTGTGGCTACTTTCCGGAAACGAAACTTACATAAAGGTCAATGGAGCCTTATTCGCATTGACGACATTTTAGGAAAGCCTCAGTTTGGAGTAACTATTATCCCCAAGAGGAAAGAAATGGACTTTTACTCCCTCGACTTCCAGGGCAAACTTCAAACACTAACCTTTAGTGATATCGAGGTAACGTGTGATAACTATAAGTTGTAAATATACACCTGTTGGGAAACTTTATGAAATGGACTTTTACTCCCTCGACTTCCAGGGCAAACTTCAAACACTAACCTTTAGTGATATAGAGGTAACGTGTGATAACTATAAGTTGTAAATATACACCTGTATGAAATGTTTGAATTTTTAGCAGTTTCAATAACACGTATTCTCGAAGTGATAGCTTTGGCTCACAACGACTGATACCGTAAATTCGTGTTAAAACTCTGTTTGCAAATGAGACGTTCAGTAACACTTCAAAGCTATCTGCACACGAGAAACTGTAAGTCAAGAACAGCTTTCTTCAGTAAAAAAAAAACTTTAAAAGAAATTGGACACACACGTACATCTCTTGCTATATACTCAGACAAAACTTGTAGAAATATCCTGTTTTTCAAACAGTTCAATAATTAAAACTTTTATCGTGTATTCTAATTTCTTACTTTCCGACTTCAAAGTTTAATTATTTAGTTACTCCTAGACTTAATTTATCAATGTACCGTTATACATTACAAATCAAACCAGCTATTCGTGAACTAATTATGCCTTAGACTACTTATATTCTAATGTGTATTTATTAAGAATTTCTCATCAAGTGTTAGTTAAGTGTACGGATCAGACCTAAAATAATTAGATAAAGTAAGTTATAGGTTAATAAAGACAATTATCTATAATAAATTAACTAGAAATATTTAATTTCATAAATAAATACACCAGAAAACTAAAACCCATAACATTGATTAGAATACATTGAATCAGTGACATGCACAGGGATAAGAGTTGGCTGGGTGGTCTACAGCCCTGACCTTATGCCCCCAAAGCACCCTTTTTCCCAGTCACAAAAAACTCTCTGCAGTTACTAAAAGATACGCCTCATTCCACACCTTCCTTGCTGTGAGTTATTGGGAAGAGAAAGATTTATGCTTTAAAAATATAAAATGTCAATTTTTCAATATTGAAATATCAACATAGCATCTGTCTGTGTTTAAGAGCAAAGATACACAATGGCTATCTGTGCTGTGTCCATTGTAGGTATCTAACCTAGAATTCTACCTTACCGCTGAGCCTCGTCGGAGCGATAAAATGAATGGAACAAAGTGACTTGTAGGTCTTTACAGTAAACAATTGTGATATAAGTGTTGATATACAATAATCCATTGTTTAGTTTTAGTTTTTAAAAGTGTTCATAACACTGAATGAATAGGAATATAGGAAAATCTGTTTGTTTGTTTTTTTGGATTTTTACCCTATGTGTATCAGAGACAACCCACAGTCCCTATAGTCTCCCCTAACACACACTCAAAAATATCTTGCCTTACTCTTCTTGAAAAGTGCCCTTTAAATGTCCTCTTCATTACGTACTTTCAAAATTAACGATGAATTCGACTGTAATCCCATTAACCAAAGATTATGTTAAATATTAGAACAAAAAGGATTCAATGAATCTAAATATAAAGAAAAATGGAATAAATCTATAGGTTATTATTTACAAATGATTCAAATTCATAAACTTTAGCTGCTTATCTAGAGTATTATACCGATCTTCTATGAGTACCCACGTCAACCAAAATGGCCGATAAAATGCTAAAGTTGCCCAACTCTATTCGCACAGTAAATAGGGTTATTACTTCCTGTATTCAGATTTTAATTGAGTTTTATAACTAATGTAGACATGTTTCCTTTAGAATCGAAAACGTTTAGCCTGTAAACATTAACCTCTCTGTTCACGGCGTTTTTGACGTGTGTCGTAATTAAGCTAGAGCACTATTCTTGGTAGCTTTTCTGGTGAATACTACAGCTCAAGTTTTCAAAGTGTGATAGACCAGAACAGGGGCGTGGGACCCGTTAGTGAAAGCAAACTATTCATAATCCAGAACGTTTTAATATACTGTTGTTGTTTCTCATGGTTACATATTTTCTGTCTATCTATTTATATGTGTGCCCGTATTATTATATGTAAATAATTTGTATTTATATAGACTTTTGCTTTTATCCATAAGTATTGTTCTTTCTATTTATTAAATTGCATTTATTCATTCATTTTCTCGATTATGACTTATTTTATCCGTACTAAATGCTTGCATATCAGTTGTTAGTGCTGTTTTTTTTAACCCACAAGCGTATTTTGTTGTCTTTCTATTCCGAACTTCCTTATCATATTCCATTCTTTATATTTCATGAACTCCAAAATTCTCTGCATTATCCTTCTATCGGTATCGTAATGTCCCCACCCGGTGGCTCAGCAATGAGTCTGAGTCTTATAACACTAAAAATTGGGTTTCAATACTCCCCAAAGGGCAGAACACAGAAAGTCCATTGTGTAGCTTTGAGCTTAACAACATACAAATATCGTAATATATTTCTTTATAACTTTCAGCAACATCTTTTGATCGGCCGCGTGCTTCTAATCTAACGAAGTGATAATTGCTTCCAGATGGCGCGACTCGAAATCACGACATTGACAAACGACTTGGTCTACTGTTTTACTCATGATTTTGCTGATTCAACTGACATATCAATGAATAAAACGATTATGACCCTCGTTGTTAGTGCACGTTTTCGTGCATTCTCTCGCAAAAGTGAATATGACATATTCTACATTGTTTCATGTCAAAATACAGGCTATGATATTTTGTTTTATTTTAACATTTTATTTATAATTAACCCGCTTTTTAAAGTTATTTCATGGATATTTATCCAATGAAATATAGTAATAAAATCATAAATTAAAACTTCATAGATGAACTTATTAGAAATAATGCAATTAAATATAAATAATACTAGTTGTAGAATTTTAACATTTTATTTATAATTAACCCGCTTTTTAAAGTTATTTCATCGATATTTATCCAATGAAATATAGTAATAAAATCATAAATTAAAACTTCATAGATGAACTTATTAGAAATAATGCAATTAAATATAAATAATACTAGTTGTAGAATTCTTCGAGATGAATAAAGCAATAGACGCTTACCTACTGAGTGAGAAGGCTGTTAAGTTTTTAAATTAATAAATATCTATTCACTTTTCTTATATTAATTTAACCGCTTTCCGTTTTCGGAGTACGTTATCGGCTTGTTGCAGGTTTTGTATTTTAATTAAACAAGTTCAAATGTGTAGGCGAAGACTAAAGTTGTTTGGCTAATTTTGATGCAGCTAGCTTGACGTTAAACCATTCTTTTTTTTTGTAATTTACATAATTATCTCGGCAAAGTATAGGGTTCTGTGTTACGCCCAGTTGCCTGTCTCTAAATATGGTTTCAAGAATAACAAAACGCTCTTCGAACCGAATTAAGTTACAGTGAAAATGAAACTTGTTGAGATAACTTATGTAACTTCTTTTATCAGTTGTTTTATTATTATTGTCGAAGTTTCATTAAAAAACGTTTCGTACGTATGCTTAAAACACGTTACATGCGTGATATGCAAGCATATCCCGTTTTGTACGTGCTTTAGTTATATAGGAATTTTATGTATTTTTCGTTTTTCTAGTTTCTATCCAGTTTTAGCATAAGCACGTAGTCCTGAAAGTGTTTAAGATTCTAGAATATTCAGAAAAGCTGATTTTCCTTCAAGTTTTCAGCTAAAGTTACCCGCGAATAACTGCAGGTTCGGCTCAGTTCTCTAAGTGATCTTCTTAAATGAGAAAATTCGACTGAGCTTTCGGTGTTGGTGTAAAAATAATAGAGTCTGGACGCTTGATGTAAAACGAATAAAATCTTTATTTACTACTATACAGGAACATTAAAATCTGAACACGCGTGCCTACCACTGTTCTTTCTTGCTAGGTAGTGTGTAGTCCTGCCGCTTTCTCTCTCTCGTCATAGACTTCTGTTGGACTACACACGTTGATTTCCAAAGTAAGTATTCTTTCTGGATCGTCTAGAGGGAACTCTGAACTAGAAAGCACACTTCACTTTAGCATGAGAACTATCTTTCTTTGTTCAGGAGACAGCGTCACCTCGTGACCCCCTGTTCTCAGACAGCTTGGTGGACTCTCACTTTTATAACCAAGTCATAGTCGACAGGCAAAGAAGCCAGTTTAATCTGGATACCTGATCCAATGCTGGAACATTCCTGCTAGTCAAGTATATGCCTCTCACAAGAGAACGAAGAAACAAAACAACTAGAACAAGATGAAGTTAATGGATTTTTGGACTATGTGTAGCCATCATGACAGTGCAAAAACTGCGTAATCGAAAATTTGGAATAATTCTATACTACTACAGAAGGTAGGAAGTCCACTTGGACAACGTTTTGTCATGCAGTATGATATTACAGTCGCTAAACTTTTAATCAAGACGGTATATGTTACTGCAATATTCTCTCAGGCAGAATTATCTACTTTAGAGAACAAAGAAACAGAGGAACTAGAATAAGGCAGTCTTGTAACATTTGGACAACGTTTTGTCATGCAGTATGATATTACAGTCGCTAAACTTTTAATCAAGACGGTATATGTTACTGCAATATTCTCTCAGGCAGAATTATCTACTTTAGAGAACAAAGAAACAGAGGAACTAGAATAAGGCAGTCTTGTAACATATGTTACAATTGACTAGTACTGTGAGAAAACAAAGATCACGAAGAGACACTGTCAACTGGACAAAGGAACCTAACTCACCTTTTGAACTTAGGCGCATTTTCTTCATTCAGTTCTATTAGGAAGTTGTTAAATGAAAATCTTACTTGAGAATCATTATCTTTTAGTTTTAGAAAGATCAATCTTAAAAGAGTGTAGGCTTTGTGACGAAGCACAGCCTGGTAGAAATTCAACTCCGAACCTCTCCACCTAAGTACGTATGCTGTATTTTCATCGTGTCCATTTTTGCTAAATTAGTCAAGTCTAGTTATTTCACGCACATTAGGAAAACTCAATTAAGATATCAGATTCATATTACTCTCCTTATTACTTGAGCGAGTATGCTGTCATTAGCGGGTCAAACTAGTTAGTAGTTTTTGGGAAGTCG